AAGGGAATGTTGAACTGAAATTCAGCTTTAAATTAATTAGCAATTGACTGATAGAATTAAGCATGAGGTACTGGTTAAGCATTTGTTTATGGCAGTGAGCGATTCAGCTTCAGTTTCCAAACAGAATCTGAATGGGGCAAATTTTTGGAAAATTAACACATATTTCATAATTTTCACAATGTGGAAAGATGAAAATTTTCCGTCAGCAGTAAAATTCATACTAACCCAGTTAGAACAGTTGATCGTTTCGATGTGACTTCGTGGAGAGCCTTTCTAGTGGCAATACTCTGCTGTAAACCGTACACACTTCTCACGTCATACATTCTGCCCTTTTCGGTTGATGCGAGCATGCACAGCGTTCGTGACGATAGCCATGCCTTTAAAACAGAGCAGTTAATACTTCGGTTATGAAACAATTTGTCGAATGATTTCATCTCTCGTCACTTCCATATTGTACAATAGATGCAACTGAACACACTGAGCAACGGCAACAAAACCAGTAATATGCGGACACTGCCTGATTGCTCGTCCCCTTCCAGGCAACTGAAGTGTGAGATCGTTTTTGCTCTTCATGGGACGGATAAGTCCCATAAAGTGTCCACAATCAAACCTTCAGACAGTTCATCTGATTTCTTTCGCGAACAGCTCGGGAGACCTTACTGTTTTCTGCTAAAACTCGAGCCGGCGATTTTGAAGCAATTCTTCCAGGCAACACCACGACATTTCCATCTGATTTCAGAAAGGTGGAATTCTGGATCGATAAAATAATCGTGCAGTCGACGGTTCTATGCTATAGACGATGTTCCGAATGCACAGCACCAAATATAGTCCAAATCGTAGAATGAAACAGTACATAAACAACAAATTTGCGCTTTTAGCAGTTATTTTAATCATAGGATTACTTGTCATCGAATTTAGCACGCTAAAATTCAGTGGTGCGTAGCACGTTAAAATTCAAGAGCTCATCTGTTCACCTCTTCAGATCTGCTTTTGTAATAATAGACACTGTAGGTTTGATACGGAGGCATATCGTAGTGTGAATCGTTTCCTTTCAGTGGACACATTAACGGTGCAATTTTTGAGTGTTGTGGATCGTCGAAATACGATGGATTGATGCGATTGGTACCATAACTTGACGGTGTGTTATCTTCAAGCATAATGCCATCGAAATGCACCTTAAGAAGGGAATTTGTAATCGAAAATTCATGAATAGACTCAGCACTGAGGTGCATGAACACTTGAGAATTTATCTGATTCGAGATATTTGATTAGATCTCAAATTGCGGACGTTCGCTCATATATAGACTGAATGCTTTGTACTATCAGTTCAAAATGTGCTCGATTTCGTATACGGTTTGCCGCAATTTCATTACGAATTAAACTGCTTGTTTGCTCACACTTTTTTGGCATTGTAGCGAAGAATATTTTCATAGATTTGGCTATTAACTTCAGTTTTGGTGGACATAGATCCATGGTTGTAAGCACAGAAGAAATTCCGGCTATGAAACGTGAATGCGAAGGAATGCAGTGAATTGAGAACGAGAATTTTGTTGAGAACCTTATTGAGGAACGATGCAATTTGTT